AGAAGAGAAGAGAAGAGAAGAGAAGAGAAGAGAAGAGAAGAGAAGAGAAGAGAAGAGAAGAGAAGAGAAGAGAAGAGAAGAGAAGTATTAGTATTTTAATTCGCTGGTTGATGAACCACCCACAGTCCATGTAATAAGTTCTATAAGAGAACTACAGCCTCCATTGTAATGATGACAGCTGATATGGGTTGACTTGAGTGTTGTTGGTTCACTTATTTATATTCTCTCTTTTTCTCTCTAGTTTTTAAGACAGCAGTCTCACAGTTCGTTTCACACTGACGTCATTGCTCCGTACCTTTCCAAAACTGCCTTTTCCTAAGACTTTGTGGAAGATGAAGTTGTCCATGTTGATCTTGGTTAAGTGGGTAAGACGAGACGGTACCCGTGGGATGGAACCTTCCCAAAGTTTGCCGTATGTCGACCCATCTAATGGACAAATACATTACCACACACAGAAATGACATATTTACACAATTATCTCAAACCTTTGCATATTTTCTGCAGTTTTTATTTGCATAGCATTTGCTATCAGTACAGAACTTTAACTTTCTGCTTGAATGTTTGGAGGAAAAAGCACCAACAAATAAAGCCTCACTCACCATTGATCTCAAGTCCAGCAAGTTTATTCACTTCGTCATAGATTCCAATATCCGGGAGATTAGGCAGATTTGGATCTGAACGGCGAGTGGATGATTTCTGATGGAAAAAAGGAAGAAAAATAAACACATAAACAAAAAATAAACATGAAGAACTCAAACAACTGTTTCCTAACAATGGTCGACTAACAGCCGTGGTACATTTGAGTCAAAAACTTGTTTGATTCTTCTCTCTTTAACTGTCTTCAAAACTAAATAGATTTTGGGTTGACCGACAGGCCTGTAAATACAGAACAGAATGAGTCAGGCGTTTAGCACAGAAGGGCAGGAAAATTAGGTCAACACACACCAGTAACTTCGAGTTTCACATTCAAGTGAAACAAATAAGATACTTTTTTGCTAGTTAGTTATTATTAATCAGCTTGTTATCTTTCCACTTCAGGCTTTCCACTTCAGGTAAGAAGCCTGAAGTGGAAAGTTTGGGTAAACAAAGAAAGTTGATAACTGTTATCATGACACCCATTATCTCTATAACCAGTTTTAGGTTTTGTTGAGCCAACAAACACAAGCATCTCTGTGTACTGGCAACATTGCAAGCTAAGTGCCTAGATTTGATTTCAGATCTATTTGAATCTTCTCTATCCTTTCAAAACAAACATTTACACATTATGATAAATAATGTAAATACTTCAAGAATTTAAATGCTATTTCATTTCTTAAATGATGATAAAATATAGAGATGTAGTTATAAGGTTTAAGTATTCATTTTATTCAGAAAGTTTATAAAGTTATAAAGAAATTTGCTGCTAATATGTTTACTAATATTTCTGGAAAACATCCAAATAAGTGCCACTACATAGAAAACAGAACAGCAACAACCAGTTTTTAAATAATCTTTTTTATATAAAATTTAATAAAGTGCTTATCTATATTTGTTATTCATTATCTTTGTTATTCATTATCATTCGGAGTCACAAAATCTCCAAGAGCAAAGTCGCGTTAGTAGAATGACACCTGAGTCACACTTCTTTCTCATTGTAATGTCATCCATCTTGATGTGGACTTGAATACCAAAAGATACAATCCACTGAATGACTCACTGAACTCACCTGACTGACTTGTGTGAGGGCTTCGGCTAGTAGTTTCTGATTGATACCACAAAGGTTGGCTACTTTGTCCTGACACTTGTGATGGACATTCATGGCGCAGTCTGCAAAGAGAAAAAACAAGTCTGCACTAAAAAAAATTTTCTTGGCCCCCATAAATATGAAGCAATAATTTTGAGTGACTGAAGGGTTATTTTTTAAAATAATCGAACGAAAATATGCTTAGGATAAACTAAATGTATTTCAATAAATTTAATTTGACCAAATCCATTAAATTTAATGTTTTACATGTTTTATATGTAAAAAATACACAGAAAATTTACTTTTAATTAAGTTGCTTAAAGTCAACATTTTAGGCGTAAATATTTTTTTAGTCTGTAGAGTACAGAAGCACACGCTCCTGTAACCATCTAGTCAATCATGTCTCTGCTGTACCTTCACACTTCAGGCCTTGCTTGACCAGACCCCACAGAAGGCTTCCACAGTGGTCACAGAAGGTGGGACTCATGTAGTTGTTGATCTTGAAACGATGCGGCATGTCGATTTTAAATCGCTCCTTCTGGAACTTTGGGCACGGAGAAGATTCATCATTGCTATGTATGACCAAAGGACTCACGCTCACAGGCCTGTAACATCTAGCTTTCCTGCGCACCTTCCTCATCCTTTTTTTTCCCCCTTGTCTTCTTCTTCCCTCTCTAACTTCAATGTGTCAAAAGTCACTACAGCACTGTGTAAAAAAAATTCTCAGAGATTACAACTTGTGGGCCAGATCTGTCCCTGCTAGTTGAATTTAAAGTATTTCCCTAAGACCACACCCCATTTGTTATTCCCACAATGTGTGGGGGTGCAGTGCTCATTCCTGTCACTGCTATCTAGGTTAGCTGGACTTTGATTATCCCCTAATATTGATGGACATTGAAAAATGCTTCACTGGAAGTGGAAACTAACAGGTATGTGCCTTTGTGTTAATAAACCCTGACCGAACTATACACTTTAATTTGATAAACGAATCATTGTTGATTTGCTAAGGAGGAATACATCAAAATCGTAAATCACAGAGGAAGAAAAAGCCCACACTAAACTGACTATTGCGCACTAATTGGGACACATATGGCGAACACTAACAGTACATGGTGTACAGAAGAAATGTGTGTTACACACCACAGTATCCCGACTGTTGGCAGCAGTACCAGTACATCTGCCGATGATTTTGTCTATACATTTCTTGTGGATGGCTGCATTACATTCTGAGAAAAAGAAACGATATAGCAGATTAATACTTTAGTTTTTAAGCTGTACACACACATGCTTTCATAAACACAAAGCAGTGATTTTGAATAAAATTCAGCGAAAATATGTCAAATCAAATTTATTTATATAATTAATCTTGCAGGAAAGTGGTAGTCCACTACATTTCTTTTGACCAGACTCCTTTAAATCTATCATTTTACCTTGTAAAAAAAATTACATGGAAATATTTCAGCAATCAGCATATTTTTGAGTGCATAACGGTAAAAGAAATGAATATGTACATTTCACAGTTTGCTTTTATGGTTAAGTAGACATTTTTTATGTTTAACATCTCAGCCATTCTCACTCCCGAGATGTGATATACTCACGATATGTTAAGTCCCGAGGCATTCCTGAGGAACGCGAAAGCATAAGAACGTGTATTATGCTACGCGCCTGGTTATAGATGAATTCCAGTAGAATGCCGGTAATACACATTCCAGCCATGTATTCCAGCCCTAACCATAAACTTATCCCGAACCTTAACCAGCACTTTGATGACATTAGATAGTGTTTTCTAAAGCAATTTAAGTAAAATGAACGTACATGTGTAGATTCATTTCAAACGGTTCTCATGTTTTCTCATGTTTCCTCATTTTTCCGATCTCATAATATAGGGACGTGTTGGGTGCCGGAAGCGTAATATACAGACGATTTGTCACCTAGCGTAAAATGTAACGCTTTGGGAGTGAGAACGTGTTGAACATCTATGTTGGTGTTTTAGCTATAACACAATGTATTGAGATTTTTTTAATGAATTACACTTACGTCTGCATTTATAGCCTTGCTTGTTGAGTCCCCTGTGTGAGACAAAGACAGGCTTTGTGAATGATTTCCCAGTTTATCACTCAAAAGCAATAAGGAACAGGTACTGCATTGCATACACTTTCTAACTTGTAAATTCTATCTTAACTGTGTGGTAACGATGGTGATTAAGTCTCATTAAGGTTAAAACACTTCATAGGAACAGGCCCTGATTTGCTACTCTACCTAAGAATATTAAAGTGCATAACACAAGTAACATAACCTCCCAAAAGCACAAGTCTCCTACCTTTAGGGTAATCTTAGAGCTACACTAACAATCCCTCTTCCATCAAGTAGAGTGAGTAAGTACAGATGTGTGAGGAAGGGGTTAGTGGTAGTACTTTATTTCTGAACTTCATTTAACTAACGTGGCAACAGCAATCATTGAGAAAGCTAATGGTAACAAGGATGTGTGGAGCTCAGTAAGATGGAAAAGTACCAGCGGGTGGTCAATAATGGGCTTAAACGAGATGTTGGGGTGTATATTTATCATTTCCTAATCTGAAATAAGATAAAGTGAAGTCAGATAAGATAGGCTGCCTACTATATTTAGACTTTACTTCTGTAGAATCAATTTGGGAAAATAATGTTAGGCTTATCTAATATTAGGCCTAAAATAGTAAATTTCTGTAATGTGGCTCCAAATAAAGTATGTAGTTTTGTGTATCTTTTTGCACAAAATTTCCAATTTCATCAAAATGTGCTTCATATCAGATAACTGGACAACTAAAGTCTTCAAAGGAAAACATGAGCATTCTATATATAACATCAAGAAAATGGGTCATCAAAGTCTTGGGTCATGGTCTGGCAAACAAAAATAGTTATTGAGAGTTTCTGCCAAACTATGCTGACATAGTTTGATAGGGATTGTCCTCACTTCTTTTTTAATTAGAGAGCTCATATTTCCAGGAACTGTTCACATTAAAAGTGTCACATACAAAACAGTGATCTAGAAAAAGAATTACAGTCTTAATCAGAAATAAGTCTGCTAATACTAAATATCCACAAGTTCCTGAACACTAGATTCTCAATATCCTGTTTCCTAATTTGATGAAAGTGTTAGACGGGCACTGACCAGACAAATTCTCTGCACACAGAGCAGAAAGTGGGCTGTCTGAAGAAAGTTGCAATGAACTCATGGTTCTTGATGAAGTGTATTTTGGCCTGCTTTATGGCCCCGCGTCTACGGTTCAGAGTAGGAGCTTCCTCCTTCACAGGCTGCTTGCTCTCTTCCAAATAAAGAGAGAAAAACAAGTCAGTCATATACAACACTGTGACAGAAAAAGAGAGGTCATATTACAGATTTGTTACAGACTGATAGCCTTATGATTGTAGTAGGGAATCACACGTTAAAGTGTGTGTAAGGACTACATTAAATTAGCAGCTGAAAACCAAGTTAGATGACTGGTGTGGGTGAGGGGGATACCCCTCTAACTGTCTTTGAAGGGGCTGCAAAACATACTTAAATAAAAGGAAGTGCATAGAAGAGAAAATAAAAATAAAAAATATAAAAATATAAAGTAATTTAATCTCACCTGCATCTGCATCCTCCAGAAAATACTGCACTGCCATCATTACTTTTCCTGAAGGATGGAGATCCACCTGAACACAAAATATAAGTACAGTTAAACAGGATCCTGACATTTTGCTCTTAAAGACAAAGGACAGTGTGTAATGACTTACCCAGAATTCAGCACGCCCGTTGGCTTTCTTGCAGCGCTCAGCAAGGACAGACACACCGACAGACACTTCAGCCAGCGGCTCCTCCGCTGTCTTCATCAGCAGTACCTCGAGCACACGACCTTCATAGATGTGTGCATCAAAAGTGGACTTCCAGGCTGGGTACATGGTGGGTTTACGCTGAACCAGGGTCTTCCCTCTTTCTGAGAAGCAGGTGGGCAGATAGAGGAAGTAGAAAAAATATTTTTGGCATGTTTTCAATTTAAACAAAATAAGATAACATAATTTGTGTTTTTTGTTTAAGCAGAAGTAGAGACTTCTGCAAAAGACAAAAAAATGATCTCACCAGTTGTCAAGGCTTCCTTCATCTTGATAGCACAGAAGGGTGGGTCAGTCAGAGGAGGCAGGATACCCAGGTCGTACGAGTTAAAGGCAATCCTCAAGAAAGGAGCCATGGTGACAAGTACCAGGATCGCCTGTTCTCAGACAAGAACAACCACAAATTTATTACTGTTAAAGTGCATCATCGCATTGTCTCAAAATATTGCAAAATGTCAAGCAATAGTGCTACGTTCTATCTGAGCATTTTGACCCCAAACAAAAACAAAAGACAGAAGATAAGATAAGCGGTCTTTTTACTGGTATTTGAGAATTTCCTGTCACTAAGCGAGACACCTGCAATGAGCAAAATTTGCCTCTGGCTGCAGCACAAATTTGTATTTTGCTTTCTCTCACTGCAAGATTTACTCTGACTCAATTTTTTATGGTGGACTGGCTATTACTCCAAATGACTGCTTGTTGGAAGCAAGGTACGCACACATTTAGTACATGACCTGAATTTTATGTCATGTATATATTTTCCATATTTTTCCTAACTGAAGAGAAAAAAATCATTCACTTTTTTACCTACAGAGGAAATACCTGAATAACTGGATTTCTTTTGCATTAGAAGTGAAATTCCAGTGGTGACACATAATGAGCGATCAATGTCCCCCTTTGTGCTGGGTGCTTGTTACCTCACGCATGATTTGCTGCTTGCATAACTCCACAAGTGTTGCAGACAGTGCCACAACTTTTCTCTATAACAACCCAAACACCACTAGTTTCAGTATGTGCAATACATTAGGTAACTCCTGTTAACTGTTACACCCATGGAGTCTTTAATTATTATTTTCTTATTGCCACTGATACACATTTAAAATGTGAGCACAAAGTCACATTTGTTTGGTTCCTTATCACTATGCGTGCAGTTTCTGACAGGTTGCAGCTGCAACACCAGAGGTGTTTCCTAGCACTACAAAGTCAGAGCTAGTCTCAACATGTCACTGATCCAAATGCATGCTGTGCTCCAAAGAAAGCCTAGCTGCTATCACAAGCCTGAAACTGTAACCGCCTACACTCAGACTCAGAAAAGTAAGACGGAATAAAAGATGCAGGCAAGTAAAAAAGCATGCAACCATTTTCACTCACGTACTGCTGCTGGGAGCTGTGATGCCAGGGCTTTTGGGAGTTAATCAACAGCAGGCATGCTGTGTGTTTCAGGCCAATAGTGATTGATTTCCCAACCAGCTGTGAGCAGTTTCAAATTGTCCTGTCTAGTTACCTCCCCAGCATACTGTAACTGGTAAACATCCTCTAGAAGCTTGTTATTCAACTTTATGTTGTCTACTTCCTAATGTCTGACCTAACAAACCACACAGTGACTGATTTCTGTTATTATTGCTTAATAATTGTATCAAAAACCATTACACGCTGTTCATTCACAAAGGCAATGTGGTAAAATCATTACAAAAAATAAACCCCTGAGCACTGAAACATAATTTGATGGCTGTACTCTCCTCTGAACCTTTGCTTAATTTAAAGTTCAATTAAAATTTTAATTTTCTTCCACATAGAAGAATACTAACATCGCTTTTACTGACTGAAATGGTAACATAATACCTGATTCTGAGAGCCTGACTGTGTTTCATCGTGGTATGGAAAAGAGCCTTTCTTCCTCGACGTAATTACCCCCTCATAAACACTTTTGAACGCCTCATGTGATCGCGCAGAACACCTAAACCATTGCTGAGGTTGACACAGGTCCTATCTAGATTTGAGTCTTGCGCATAATGAAAAACTAAACTCTGACGGTCACATTCACCGAGAATCAGTCAGTGCATCTGATTCTCTCTTTATTCTCTAAAGGATGTGGTCGATTGTCAGTTGGCTGAACGCAGATGTCACCTCACGTCTGACTCAGACAGCAGCTTGCAGCCAGATTGTCTTAATGACAAGTAAATAACTGTTCCTTCTCCCTTTTCTCCCTTTTCTTCTTTTTATCTTTACTCCTCCATCCTTGCTGTCCAACCTGCTCACATTCCTCCTCATCCCTGGTGATATTCTGTCACTTAACGGATTCCACATAAGCAGAATTACCGACATACTGCATGCAGTTACTGGCAACCCGACTGTGTTAAGACAGGGCCGCAGATGCTTGCAGATGTTCCAGTCCAAAGGGGTGGTGGGTATAGATCAGTAGGTCGCGATAATTCACCTGTCAGTACCTTTTGTGACCCCGTAGCGTCAGCAAGTGTGACGGGGTCACGGATTCCTGTGCACTGTTTCACTGAAGCAGCTCCAGTCGCTACTCGGAAAAGTTGTCAGGGGTTATTATTTTAACCAAAACAGCTGTGTAGTGCCAGCTGCCTTGTTGACTTTTCATAGAAATGAAACGTGTCTGGCTAAACTTTCACTGCGCTACAACAGCTAACGCTTTCAGCGAGGAAGAAAAACTGTAACCAGTTAGCCAGGGTTTAGCGTTACTCGCCTCACCCTCACAGTGAGGTTTTCCAAAGGATGAAAGAAGCAGACGAAGCGGTACTGTTTTCTGTAACTTTCTGTAAAGTTTAGACGTAAAACCCGTACTCTGCTACTAAAAACCCACTCGACTGAAGCCTGAAAAGGATTGTAATGGCAGACTCACCTTGTCCTGCAAACCAGGCGGTTGTTCTCGACGAAAGTTGCTCTTTTTCTTCCTCTAGTGTTTTTTTTCTCTCTGTGATTCCGTCGATTGAGGAAGTGTGGCGCGCGCTCGCAGCGCAGGGGCTTTCTTTGCAAGCTGTGACGTTTACCTGGTATGCACACAAACACACACACACACACAGACACACACACACACTCACTCCCCCTCTCTCTCTCTCTTTCAGACACACAGACTCACACAGGGTAGTCTGTGAAGCGGTGGCGGGGCACTGTACACTTAGCTGCCCTCATTGAATTTAGGGCCGTGCCACTTACCATAATACTTTTTTTCTTTTTTTTTCTCCCCCCTCAGGGGTGGGAGTATTCCCTTAACACACACAAACACAGCACAGATGCAGGCAAATACACACACAGTCTATCACTTTTCAGTCACGCGTGTCACTTGACATGTAAGCCTGTTTGAAGTTAACGGGCGTGTTCGTCACAGCAGACCTGTTGATCATATATGAGGCTATATGAGTTATAAATATGAAAAAGCGACCCAACACATTATAACTGTGCATAAAGATCCGCATTGCTGGTGAGTATGCCCTAGATTACAGTATGTGGGGGAAGAGTCTTTTTTTTCCACGTGAAGTGTTTGTGTGGCAGGGGGTGGGGTCACGTGGCTGGGACTGTAGGCTGCGGGGGTAGTTTTGAGGTTTGCGCTAGGTTTTGCTGGTGAGGAGGTGGCAGATTTGGCTCCGGTACCAAGAAGGATCTTTTCTTGTTCTAAACAGGCACTCTAGATTATCCACACTCTTTATTTGTTTCATGCCTGTGTTCACCCCCACACACGCACACATAGATCTAAATAATTGTATGTCAGCACAAGTAAGGGGGGGTTAAGCCCAACTTGGTATTCATCGTCATCTGATTAGAGGCAGCTATAGAACATACTGGCTGATTGAGGGCCTAATTCCTCCAGGATGAGTCATAGTTCAATGACTGGGGGCAATAAGTAATTGCTGCTCTGTGTCAAAAGGGAAGGGAAAAAAACCTGGACAGGAGCAGGCTGGCAGGGCACAGGTGTGCCGGTGTCCCCCTCACTTCTCTGTGGATTTACATAACAAGCAGATTCTGACTCATGGTAGACACAGGAAGTCTGCAGACTAGGTGTGTGCACTAAAGACTTCAATGCTCACCGACTCTTCTGACTCTCACTGAGGCACCCTCAAAGCTCAAGAAACCCTGTTATTCGGTTCTTTTTTCAGCACACGCATGCACACATACACACACTGTGATGATCCACCAGTGGGATTCATAGGCTGGAGAACAGGCGGATGTTAAATTGAGCCTGCAGAGATGGAAGAGAGAATGATCATCTACATAGAAACTCCTTATGCATGCAGATGATGCATATGGCTATGTGGCTCTGTGGGCTAGGAAGCTAAGGAAGAGGCTTCGTCATTTGAAGCTGAGGTTTCTTTCATGGGTTTTAGTGCATACTCAGTTGTGAGTTTATTATTTAAATGTTTATTATGGTCAACTACAGGTGTAAGACTTTTTTTTTTTAAATTATTTTGGCCGTCAGGTTATTCAAAGCTGCTTCTTTTGTTGCTGTAAATAGAGGATACATTTGAATTTTAAATTTAGAAAATATTATTTTCTCTATTTTGTACAATTCAAAAAATCAAATGTAAAAAGGCACATCACAACTGCTGATTTAAGCAGAATAGCATCAGCTATAAAATAGGAAGAAAAAAATTTGGGGGTGCCTGACAGTTGCAGATAAAGACTGTGTGATGAATTAGTTTCATGCATAATGCTAGAGAGACACTGCAGCATCTCCCGATTGCTCTGTGGAAAAGACATTTAGAGCATTTCCATTTACAAGTATTAGGATAAACAGATCGTTTCCCATGTTTAAGGGATAAGTGTGTAACATCAGCTTTCTTGCTTTTGTGGCGGAAACTCCACCACAACTTGACTTTGTGAATTAACACAGTTAATGTTATTAAATCTGTACAAAAACAAAGTGGAAAAGCAGTGCTTCATCGTTTTTATGGAGGCTATATAGAATAAACCAGCGGGTGCTTGAACTCTGTGTTGGTTGCAATTTCCTCCAGCTAATATATTGTCTGTTACAGAGATGTCTGATTCATACAACCCAAAATTCACCATCTGGGTTGGACCAGTGAAACTCTGCTTTCTGTCAGTGTAATGAATTTTACCTACACATCTGCTCCCTGAAATATCTTAATATCAGAAAAATAAGTGAAATTTGACCAGTATGTCTTAGTTTTTCTGCATAATGCAGATATGGTACTGTAGTAAATGAAAGAAATCTGCTACTCTTTGGGCTTACATTTTAAAATTACTCATTGCTCAGCCATTTACATTTAGTGAAAAACAAGAATTTATCTGTCACTGGCAATTAATTGTTTGGAAAACTGTTGCATTATTTATAAAAAATATAAAAAAAAATACTATTAAAAGCACAAATTCAGTTCAGTGGAGTGTTGGCCCAGTCCTATTTGGGCCACCGAAGCTTATGTTTGATTCCCATGGTCTTCTAAATAAACTCCAAGCAAACTACAACTTGATGTTTTTACACCTGAAGCGCAGTGCACAAAAAGAAAAAATAATGCCTTCACGTCTGGATGAAGGGCATGAGGGTAAAACATTGTGATGTTTGTTGACAAGGTTACCTTTTCACTTCTGCATTTTCAACTAGAAACAAGATTCTTGTTAGTGAGCTCCATAGATTTGAAAGGTATTATTTGTTTGCTTTGAAAATCTATTTGTTCCCCAGTCGTCACACTCTTTAACCTATCAGGCTTTTCCTTATTTTTATTAATTAAAATGGTTCAAATAAAGTGATTCTACGGTAATTAAAAAACACACAAACCAGGTTCCCTTTTAATTTGAAGTTCTGGGTTTTGTTTTCGTTTTTTTAATTTACTTTTCTTTACCCCGGTTTTAAGGCTTGTTCCCCAATTAACAAGCATTTTTTAAAGTGTTTGGAGTTTGCAAAAGCCTCCTCTGAGATGTCATATCTCCAAGCCTTTTATTGTTGGCTGCTGGTCCTGCTGACATATGTTTAATTATCTCTTTCTAAATGTTTATGATACACTGATCACCAGAGAACAGAAGGCACAATGCAGACTACCCGTTTAGGCAGCAGGAATAATGTATGTTCAGTCGGAGGTGCAGAGTGTGCTGAAGGCTGTGTGTTTCTCTCTGGTTTGTCCTTTTGAGGGAAAGCGGGCTATTTAAAGCTTTAGGGGAGGTGGAATAGGTGTAACATTGACTTGGCAGTGTAGGCTGCAAAGAGTTTGCAAAGTGGGACATAAGAGTGAGTCCCTCTATTCTTCCAGCCTCTCTGTATCTTTTCTTTTCTCCACTTCCTCTCCCCATCTCTGAGTGAGAACGAGAAACACAAGGTGCAAACCCAGAAATGTCAAGCCAATGTCAAGGGGACGGAGTCTTTCTTTTTATTAAACATCCAGCTCTTGCGTAATAAACTCTTTTCCTTTCCCCTGAGGCAATGCTGCCCACACAGCACTATGAAAGATGAGAAGCTATCCTGTTGTAGCTCACGACATCAATGCAAACGCTGCATTCCCTTCTCAGACAAAGACTGGCGGTCCGAGCGTGTCAGTGTGAGTTTGTCGTTAAATAAAGTCGAGTGTGTGCTGTTGGTGCGTTGTGAGTAAAAAGCCACAGGTAAGGAAGCTCACCTCAGAATAGATTTCAAGCGGCTCCGTAGCATCAGTTGTTAATGGTAACAGACCACATATAACAGAGCTGCATGCATCTGACCTTATTGAGTAGGCTGTGTGTACGATTGATTATTTGCTTCACTCTGCATTGCTCCCGCCTGCAGCAATGTGGAAGTAAGACCGGATTATGACACCATTCCTGCCTCACTGAAAAAGACACGTCAAGCACACAGAAGGCTTTCTTTTTGTGCTTCTTAACTAGCACATAAATAATCATTAAAAGTGCCACCGGATATACCTGTTCTAGTCATATATGCCCTAATATATGCCCTTGCAATGAGTTCCTGTTTTTAGAAGAAGGAAAAAAAGTTAAGGGGAAGTATTTTAAATACGGACACACTAAATTTGCATTTGGAAGCTGACAGAGAAGTTCTACATTTAGGTAAACTAGGTTTGTACCCTGCTTTCCTTGTGGCATCTGGCAACTGCTATGCAACGTAGGCAGAGAAGTTCCAATTGAAGATATGTGATGAAAGCAAACAGAGTAGGGAGAAAGCAGAACTGGGGCTAGAGAGGAAGAACACAGTGATGAATGGTCTCTCCTTTATGTAGGACGAGGTGTCTGCAACTTTTCAGTAGCCCCAGAAAGCAAACTTTCTGCCTGATATTATTCTGGGTCAGGAAGCCTCAGGGGTAGATGAGAAGCAGAACAGGCCTGGCCTGTCTTTGGCCCAACAGCACACTGGTCTGTGTATCACTTAGTCCCACTGTGTCTTCCCGAGAAGCTCTGCACGTGAGCTGAAAAACTGACCAGCTTGGTCTCGGAACAAGCGTCACATGGACTATTTGTCAGCCCAGGCACCTTTAGGTTTATTTAGAAGCTGCTGCATGTTGAATTTTTCCTCATTTAATCTAAAGTATGTGTTGTAAACCACGAGCAAGGACACGGTAACAGAAAATCAATGACAGCCTGCCACCTGCTTTAAAATATAGTCCACCTGCCATCTAGAGGACACGAGCAGAATGAAGAGAAAGCACAGACACTGACTCTTTGTATGATCATATAGTATCTTTTACTTTGTTTTAAAATTATTGTCTTGTAAATAAACATAAGAAAACATCTAGTACAGTACAAAGTCCAAAACACTGATTATGTAGATCAGTGCAATCAGTGATTCATGTTTCAGTCCACGTCTGCAGATCCGCTCCAGCTCAGTGAGTCTTATACAAACATGGATTTATAATATACTTATTATAGGGATTTAAAATGTTAAAGACATAGTTTTCCACATTTTCCCAGTAGCTAGTATATTAAGTACAGTAGTTGAACCTTTTGGTCCCAGTAATGAATGACACTCATTTGTACAATCATTTCTTTTTCAAATCAGTGCAAAAGGCATATAAACTACTTATTCACGTTCATCTCCACAATACAGTACATGGCAAAGCAATAGACACTATTATACATATAAAGTTACTCCCT